ATTTCAGAGCTGGTCGTGCGACGTGAGGGAGCCGGTACTAGTGCTTTAGCGCCGAAGGACCGTGTCGCGCGTTTGACGCTGACCGACCAGTCGATTAAAGTTGTTAGTGCAATCAGCGTTGAAGAATAAGAGACAAAATCTGACAGACCTACTAATAACATACAGGAGGAATGATTCAAATGAAGATTTAACATCGGCAAATAATATTACTTGCGAGGGATGAGGCGCATTGCACCACTGTCGGGCGCTTGCGAACTGCCAGTGGCGTCGGGCGATCTTACACACAGCAAAGTTGCAGAATCGAAGTACTAGTGTATTGCATCAACATATCCAGTGCGAGAATCGTGTATCGAGCACCACCTGAGTCATCCTACGCTATCGTACATGCAACATGGAAGTAACAGAACAGATACATTGTACATCTGACACATCCGAGTCACGCCGCCTGAGCATCGTACATGGCTACGCGTTTCAGCAAGAAAATCGACGATGGATCATCTAGTCGTACTAACAAAACCTACAGGACATTGCAACGAGTTTACGGTCATGACGCCTGACATAAATGATTCGAGTCAAATTCCGAAGGAAGCCGCACTGAAAGACTCACTGATATTGACGTTGACAAAGGTCTTGTGCGGCAGCTCAGCCCGACGGCTCGTTCGTAGGCGCAGGGTCTAGCTGGTTGAGCCGACGAAGCAAACTGTCCATAGCGTTCTCGGCGTCGCTGAGCAACAGATCGCCTAATCTTGGCATGTCTTGCATCCGAGGGAGCACCTGGAAATCACTTTCCACAGACTGCCAACCAGTAGTGAAGTCGATTGGGTCTTCCTGGCCGTTACTAACCCTTCGCTTGATCTCGAACTTCGCCATTTGTAGCGCTTCCATCAGGATCGGCGAGGTACGGTTGCGACGCTTTGTGTCGGTCTCCGCACCGGCCGAGAAAGCACGTTCCGCCGGCACCGACGAAGACTGTGCCGACAGATAGTCGAGGGCAATGCGGTACAGGATCGGGTACGCGACCTGTGATCTCTGATGAAAAAGAAATTAGACAGCTGTGGTTTCACCTCAGGAATGTACTCACATGCCAGAACTTGAGAAGATCGACGTCCTCCCGCTCCGGTGGAGAGTGAAGGTAGGACTGAAATTCACGCTCAACGATTTTTTCCACAGGCTCGTCGTTTCCTTGTGCAGCTCTTTCACGAAAGTCGGTCTCCATTGCGCGGACCTCGTCACCGAGCGCATCAGCGACGGTGTAGTACGAGGGAGCCCCTGCTGCAGAGACTTGCGACGTCGACGCGCCAGACAGCTGAGATGTTGACTCGGCAGACGACGTGGACGTGGCCGGTCTGACATATTCGTAGTATTTGATCATCTGTAATAGTACATATGAGCATCAGCGATGTATTGACGACCTGACCGATGCTGCCATACTTACCATCCGACGTACGATCGCATATGCGTCGATGACCCACGATGCGCCCCAATTAGCGGCGATCCACGAGAAACGCATATGCGGGTGGAGAACTGTTCCGTGTGAGCAAGGTGCATGATTAGAATCTCAGAGACTTACACATCGCGATGATGTACACGGGACTGTCGTCCATAAACCTGTAGTATTTCTTCGCGCGATTCAGTCCTGCCTCGATGACACCCTTAAGATGGGGCTTCTTCTTGGAGAGTGCCTCCCACCCCGTCATCATTTTCTCGAGCGCCATGACCGATCCGGCCAGCATCGGCGACTTCTCCTTCGACATCATGGTTTGCATGACGTGCAGGGGCTGGAATAGGTATTAAGCACAACATAACGAGGGTCAATGAAATCACGCGACGTACCCTCAACAGTTCATAAAGATCCTCGATCAAGTACCACTCGTCGACGTTGGGGATCATTGGCGTGATGTCCGAGTTGCGCTCAAAGAGCCCAAAGGTATCCAGTGCCTACATAGAAGAAGGTAAATTCAATGGGAGCAGCATTATGTGAAAGTGCGTACCGGTCGTAGCTCAATGAAGCGGATGCACATCGCATAGGTAGAGTCCCACCGGGTGCGAGCGTCAAGGATGAATTCGCGGTCCGTAACCAATATGACCTGATTGGTTCGAGCATTCTTGAAGCTGCATGTTTCATTTCCGTGTTGCAAGATCGTCTTGAATTTCATCTTGTTGAAATCTGAGTTCCGGAACTTCTTGGAGACGTCACGCATGAGCAGAATAACTGGGCGGTTAGATCTCGAGGCAGCGTAGTTAAACTCATCGGTCTCCAGATCGTCTCCTTGGAGGTCCTCGTCGGCGTCGATGTCATTCTCGCCATCGTTCTCATCCTCACCGTCCTCGTCGTCGCTCTCGTCGTGAGAAGGTGAGATGGTACCCTTCGAGAACGCACAGATGACGACCTGAGCACAAATATTGACCGTATGGGGGAAACAGCGGATATACCGCGAACGTGCGACGAAGTCGAGGTTGGGGCTGTCGAGCCTCATGTTGCGTTCCAAGCTGCTTAGGAATGTGAGATTGTTGGACGCATTGTCCATGGTAAAAAACCCGATCTATTCGATTGAGGTTGTCAGTGCTTAATACTTAAGAAAGAGAATCACTACCTTCTCGCAGGGGAGCTCCGCACGCTTGAAGAGGTTGATCATGAGGAGCGCGATGTTTTCGCCGGTGTGTCTTCCTCGCAGATAATGAAAGGCGAACAACGTGGACTCCATCGTGAGATACGACTCTCCATTGCCCTTGCGCAAGGCGAGCCAATGAGCCGTCACCCCGAGGTAACCCCGTCGACGCTGATCGCTCCAAATATCGGCCGTGAAGTTGATACGCCCCGGAGCGCTCTACCAAAATCAGTACGCCCCCAAGCATGAGCAGAGAGCAATCGCACCAAAAGCTCCTTCTTGACGTCCTCGAAGAAGAGCTTCCATCGGTTGATGATTAGCTCCCGCAGTTTGGTGCGGTGAGGAATGTCTTTGTCGCGCAACTCAGAGCGCAGAACGAGCATGAGCGCCCGAAACTCCCTACTCTCGACGACATTCAAAGACTGAATGAAAGTCAGTCTCAACAGACGTGTAAAAGATGGCGTAGAACTCGCCTGATCGGTTCCAACTACGAAATCAACCAACGAGGATAGAAAAACGTCTTGAGTGAACTCCTGTCGAGTCGCTTCAAGAGTCGGGACGAGTGACGTGGCGGCTGTACCAGACGTGCCAGCCGCTGTGGACGTGTCCGGAGGCTGAGTACGGTCCGTGTTCAAGTATTGCCAGCCAGTCACTTCGCAGACGGTGTTGTATTCGTCCGGATGCACTTGTGTCAAGTGCCCTCGAAGCGCGCCACCACCTGTATTTGGCCCATACGCCACCATCAAAGAAAACTCGGCATTAGGGTCAGCGTACACGCGCTGCCTACTCAGTATCAGCATCACGTTCCGAGTCAGAACAATAGGGATGGGTGCTAGTAATACTTACATGCAAAGTCGACACCATTTCAGCATGATTCCTTGTTCCGTCTTATTTTTGCGATCGAAGAAATGGTTGATGTCGTGCGCGACCTGCTTTTTACCTTGTTTACTGACAGAACTTGGCCATCCGCCTGGTGGCGGGACTGCGATCGACGGCGGTGGCGCTACTGGCGTCACCGGCCTCGGGACATCGGCGGCACGATAGATAGTGCGGCGACCTGAGCGAGAGCCTGAGCTGTCCGTCGGTGCAGGTTGGTTTTGAAGACTAGTGGCAGTCGTTGGCGGGGCGTGCAAGCCACCAGGCACGCCGCCCTCCGCCCGGGCAACGTCCGGGAACGCTGCGTCAATCGCTACGGCTAATCAGAGTATGTACGGCATGAGTAAGGGGTTATGACTAACCTCTGTCCGAGATGTCGATTACCTCGCCGCCGGCGTGCAATGCTGCCTGGGAGGCAGGCATCTCTGCTCCCCTCTGGACGCGATTCGGAGGAGCCATTGCCAGCAGTAGGACGGACTACATTCCCTTTTGTATCATCAGAATATATTCGCTTTTTTTAATGATAAACTGGTTTGCTCACCGACAACTCGACTTCAGAGTGCGACTCGGACGAGGCTGATCATCGACTTCAGAGTGCGACTCGGACGAGTCGGACCGTCTGTGCAGGAAGGTAGCTGATCATCGACGCCGTTTCGGGCCATGATCGTTTCGCCTAATAGGATTCAAGGGGAGTAAGTGTTACTCGTGCGTGTTCAACGAATTCAAAGTGTCATGTCAGGGACTCACCGGCACTTTAACTCAACTGGTTCGCTCACCGACGACTCGACTTCAGAGTGCGACTCGGACGAGTTAGACCGTCTGTGCAGGAAGGTAGCTGATCATCGACACCGTTTTGGGCCATGATCACTTCGCCTAATAGGATTCAAGAGGGGTAAATATTACTCGTGCGTGTTTCAAAAACTTCGAAGTTCCAATGTCAAAGACTAACCGGCACTATAACTCTTCAGAAGGCATGCGTGCAACTTCCGATGCCCTGAGTCGTGCGTTCGAGGCTTCTCAGTGGAACCTCGCGCCACGATTAGTACGCCAGACCGAGATCTTGAAATTATAGCTCACCTTAGAGGAAAAATGCCGAAGCCGTTGTCGTGAGACCCAAGAGCTAGGAATGACTCTCGTGTCTAGTGATAAGGTCAGCAGTTAGTTACTTCTCCTTCTATGACTCAAGCTCACTAAAACTGGAGTGATGCGATTGGCGAGGTGAGCAGAAGTACCGCGCGGTGCGTTTCACTTCATGTTTGCGATATTAATGTGTTTGTCGACTTCTTCGACTTCTGAACGCGCTGAATTGGAAGGATGCTTTCTTGATGTTCTATTGCAGCCAAAGCCCGTGTAAGTCCTGCACCTTGCACACCACACGTACCGTTTCGGACCTCCGACATCCCTGACACAAACTCGCACGGAAGTGGCGGACGTGGAAGGCGATCTCTCAAAGATATAGAAAACAAGTTAGTTCAGTGGTCAGTCCTCTCGTGTCTCCCACATCGCGCACTCGACATGGGCTGCCTCATCTCTCATCTTCGGTGCAGTGCTGGTGAGTCGTTTGACGTTCCGAGAATCTGAGTCTTACTGAGCTGCCTCTGATCATCAAATTTATAGCCAGTGGCCACAAGCCCTATACTGCGGAGCAGTTGCAGCAGCTCCTGCCAAGCGAAGAAAGTTTGTCGAAGGGGATCGCGTGTCGCTCGCATGCCAGTGCCAGCGATCCGGCTGCATTTGCCAGCACCAACCTACTCGCAGAGAGTCTCGCGCTGCACGTAAGTTCTGAACATGTGTTCGTCTCACTCGTACTTGACTGATTGAATGCTTGCTTCGTGCACAATATGCACTTTCTTGAAGACCGTTGCTTACCTTCGCTCCAGCGGCTGGGGCTGGCGAAGGACCCGACTCGGACGCGCGCATCAGAGGGTTCATGCTGCGCGCGGGCCAGTCGAGATGATTATCGCGTTCACCGCCATCCTCCTGCGCGACTCACCCGTCCTACCGATGCGTCAAGCGACGATCCTACACGGCATTCGCTTGGCGTTGGAAGCATTGCTTACCCAGCAAGACATCGACTGGGTCGACGTCCTGCCGCTTGCGGAACACGCTGTGCGCATCGCAGAGTCATTCGGATCCACGGACACCGAGGTGAGAGGGACATACCTATCAGTTCTCCTCTTCTGATTGAAACCACTACAGGATGGCGCCTCGAGTAGCTTGCCTTCCTTAGAAACCGTCAGTAGTACATAAGGCTGCGAGCATCCCGGTGTACGTCTTGGTGTACAATATCTTACCTATCATCGTCACGAGTCATTGCCTCTCGTCGCCTGCAGCGCACCAAGTGCCCATCCGATGATCAAGAGTGGTTCATTGGTATCACCCGAATCCGCATCTATTCTGAAAAATAACTCAATGTTCGCGGAATGAAGTCTCCGTGCCTCGTGTGACTGACCGCCCCGCACGCTCCCTGCATATCGCGCCTGCCCGCTCCCTGCATATCGCGCCTGCCCGCTCCCTGCGTACCGCGCACCCGCGCACCCTGCGTACCGCACTCACGCCTGTTCACGCCTTCGTCTCGCTCGCACCGCCCGCCGCTCGCCAACATTGCTGAGTCTTAGCTGTTGTGCTTCAGTTCTTCGCCTTGGGTTTCTTGCCTTGATTTGCGGCTTTGACGACTTCTGTAGGCATCGACAGAACGTGAGTGCTACGAGCACCTGCCAAGTCCTGTCATACACAAACTGGAACGCACGCATGATTGCCTTGATATCGGGGAAATTGAGAGCCTCGCGTGGCTTGCGTGTACGTTCCTCAGGCCTAGCTACTACTACCGGTTCCTGCTTAGTCAGTATATGCAAACTCGCACTGCCTACGCACTTTGCGATGCCGCGGTCTTACAAAGCGAGGGCGAGGGCGTCCAGACTGGCTTCACCCAGTACTTCAGGTGTCTGCACAATCGGAGAGTCAGAGTGGTGAGTGCTACTAGTAGTAAATGGAGATGTAGTCTCGTGTACGTGAAGCTATAATGAGCATTTGAAAATGCGCACGGGTCCCGCACCAATCAGCCTGATGGGCGGATGGGTGGACAGGAACGAGCGGGCGACCCGGAGTTAATGGTCAGCAAATGCGTTAGCGAGACGTGTGCGCTGATGAGTGAGAAGACGCGTGGGCGGATGAGTGGGCAGGTCGGAATCTGACGTGTTCAAGATGCCCTAGGTCAGGCTGTACATTGCACGGACTCAGTCTTGTACGCGGGCCAGCTAGCACTTACCTGTACATATATTCATGCTGTTGACATTCGCTAAGGCTAAGTCCTTGGCAGTGACGCAGTTTCCCGAAACATGCAGAGGGCGAGAGTGGTTGTGGCAGCTCAGCACATTGCCCAGTGAGCGTGTTTCAATGGAACTCACCATCAAAGGCCACTGCACGTTTGACCGCCGAGACCCTTGCGAGACCCTTGCGAGTGCTGACGGAGCGGACAATGAAGGAGGCAATGATCAAGATGAAATCCGGGAGCAAGAGCGAGACAACCGCACGGATTAGGTACAGGCGACCTGAGATGACATCTGGTGAGCGTTGAGTCTGACACATCATAGCGAGGGTGCGCCTTCGCATTCGGCACCTTGGCTCGTTGACGTCGGTGGTGATCTCTGATCTGAACATATAGGTGAGTAGAGCTGACGAGCGAGCACCTGTGTAGCGAGTGAGTACGTAGATGCACCGGAAGTTCGAGGTCACTAATAGTCACTGGGCGTGGGAGTCCAGTGCTCAGCGCTCAGCGTTCATCTACGACTACGAACCGTGGGTCGCTCATACGTTCGCTAATAATACGTCGGGCAACCTCCTATATACCCACCGCAGTCGCATAAGAACTGTCATTCGTTCCCCCCCCCCCTCCCCCCTGTACAATATCAGTTCCTTCAGTGAGTGGCTTGTATCCTTTATTATTGCGGTGCTCACGTTTCATCACTGTAGTCATGTCCATTAGCCTTGTTCGCACACGCATTGGAGGCAGGTTCCGGCTGAAGACCAGGATCGGATCCGGGTCGTTTGGTACGTGGCATACCATACTGAATCTCGTTTTGCTCATGCAGTCCTCAGGTGAGGTATACGAGGCCGTCGACATCATTGAGATGGTCGATGTAGCGATTAAACTCGAGCGCGTCGATCGTACACGATCAAGCCTGGAGCACGAGGTTACCGTCTACAAAAACCTAGGAAGGATGGTCGGTATCCCTCGTGCTCGTTGGTTTGGGGCCGAGGACGGATACGACGTCCTCGTCTTGGATCTTCTAGGACCATCACTTGCCTCATCGCCTCCAGGCGGTGAGCCGTGTTTGGCCTTCAAGCTGCTTTGGTGTTTGGCAATCAAATGGTGCGTAGTCTCTTCTGCGACGTTGGCATAAACTCACATAGGATGTTTCAGCTCGCAATCCTAGAACGACTGCACGCCCGTGACTACATCCACAGAGACATCAAGCCTTCGAACTTCCTCTTTGGCCCTGAACCGTTGTCACAGAAGGTCTTCCTCGTCGACTTCGGCCTCGCAAAGCAATATCGAGACCCCATCCAGCATTTACACATTCCTTACCGCGACGGCTTACAACTCACCGGAACTGCTCTCTGGGCGTCCGTCAACGTTCACGTTGGCATTGCACACTCGCGTCGTGATGATTTGGAGTCGCTCGCATATGTTATTATTTATCTTCTCCGCGGATACCTCCCTTGGCAAGACCTCGCGACTGACGACATCTTTCACCGAAAACAGTCGCTGTCTCCTGCGGCTCTTTGCCACGATCTTCCCCTCGAACTCACCACATTCGTCACATACATCCGTAGTCTCCCATTCACGGGAGACCCCGACTATCTTTATCTGCACCATCTTCTTCAAAGCGCTACCGAACGAGTCGGCTCTGAGCCGGCGTGCATCGGCCGACCGTACAATGGCAAGGGGACTTGCAGGCCACTGCCTAGTGAAGGTGAGTATTAATCGAAGTTCGAAACAATGATTACTGATGTTCCATGTCTGTGTGATAGGTTCTGGCTATGGTTTTGGCAAGAAGCAGGCCGGCGTTGTGTAGGTTGATGTTTTGTGTACCTGTAGGCCGTACTTTATTGTTAGTATGCCAATGTTGTATCATCACGCGCTATACCCTTCGCCGTCGTGTCTGTCCCGTGTGTCAAGTACTTACTTACGGTAGCACTGCGCGATGCTTGCATCGTAACGCTCATGTTCTCGCCCGCTCCGAATGCATGTTGTAATTTCATTGCAGCGACGATGGTCGTTGCATTCATTCACGCATATCATCGCTCACCCTCACGTCTTTTCGCTCGCCCTCACGTCTTTTCGCTCGCCCTCGCGTCTTTTCACTCGCCCGTGCGTCGCCACCGTCTTGGTCAGGATTTCGGGACTGCTTCATTTGAGTCGCATTTTGATTTAATTTTAGATACACTGTTCTACGGTCGAAGAGCTCCTATTGTTCATTATAGCCTACTAGAATACATTGTAACGTCGTTCGCACAAAGACTATGGCTACCGACAGAGTACACCCTCACGAACCGGCATCTATGGTGAGTACTCTACCCGGGTTCACCGCCAGTGTCGGTGGTGAACCATGGTGACATATGGGCTTGTCGCCGTGCACACACCCGCGCCCGCCGTCCGCTCCATGTGACCTCTGCAGTTCGCTCAGCCTCATGCCACTTGCCCACTCGCCCTCGCTGATGTCTGCTCGCCATCCGCTGGTCGGCTGTGTTTGCACGCGGGGCATTTGCCCTGCGTGTTTGCAATCGCCGTGCGTGACGTGCTGTGCGCCTGGCACCGCCGCGCCCGCTGTCTACTTGCCCTCGTACATGGATGGTCCGTTCGGTAGGTCGTGCTTCCGTGGCCGGGTCTTTGCCCTGCGTGCTTGCGGTCGCCGAGGTTGCACCTTTCGTGCTCCGTGCCTCGTGCCCACTGTCCGCTCGCTGCCGCCAATCCCTGCCGCCAATCCCTGCCAGCCGCTCGTCGTGTGCCAGCGCTATGTCCACAAATAAATCGTGAGTTACTCACCGTGCATGGAATCGGGCGGCCCACCGTTCGTCGAGGCTGGCCCGATGATCGTGACGACATGCGAGACGCACTGCAGAAATAATAGCATTAGGAGGGCTGCGACGAGCTGAAGGAATGATGGCACTGAACTGTGACCGTACCTGTACCCGCCCCACTACCCCGCCGCAGCGGGTACGGGTGCAGCGCGGGTCAACGGGTATGAAGGATCACACACCAGTCTGCGCGGGCGAGCCGGACGAGGGGGATGAGAGGACGAGAGGGACGATGGACATCGAGATTGACGAACGTGAGGGTGAGAGTGACAACAGAGAGAGGGCAAGGGCGAGCGTGCGAGGAAGAAGGAGGCCTAAATTGGGCGCCAGTGCGGTATGCAGGGGCGAGTGCGGTATCACGTGCAGTACGCAGGAAGCAGGTGGGCGGCGGGCGCGGTAAGCAGAAAGTGGGCCGGCGGGCGTGGTTTGCAGATGCAGGCAATGGGCACACTATAGATGTGTTGTTCTACTGGCGGCGAGTGCATTACAGGAGTATCGGTGTGGCGAACACCTCGACGTGAGCTAACAGAGTACCGCCATTTGATAATTGATTATAATTCGATTAAATTACTCAAAGACCAGCTCAGAGCTGGCTCAGAGCCACGAGCCCAAACTGATTTCGG